ATGTTAAAATAAAATATCAATGAAGATGTACCATAGATAAGTGACAATTGTCATAATTGTTGTTTTTAAAGTTTTTTGAAATTTTTATATGCAAAAGGGTAAAAATATAGATTGTAAAAATGTCCAATTAAAATTTCATGAAGATGTACCAAATAAAAGTGACAATTGTCATAATCGTTATTTTTAAAAGTTTTTAAATTTTTTTGAAGCAAATGGGCTAAAATATAAATTGCTATCATATTAAAATAATGTTTCAGTGAAGATGTACCCTAGATAAGTGACAATAGTCATAATCGTTATTTTCAAAGTTTTTGAATTGTTTGACGCAATTGGACAAAAATATAAATTGTTAACATGTTAAAATAAAATTTCAGTTCAAACAAAAAAACAAATTGATATTTTCATTCTCATAATCGTTGTTCCTTTTATCCTGTTTAAAATTTGATAAAAATATGCAAAGTGATTATTAAAGATAGTTGTAACCTATGTTAAATTCTAAACTTTTAAGATATGGATTCACAATCTTATTCCTTTAATTAATAAATTTTAATTCTACATGATAAAAATGTATAACCTTGCATTCACAGTTTTTCAAATATTTTTGTATACTCGTGGCAAAATAGTGGTGAGTCTGAATTCAGGGTAGGGTTTTTATAAAAATAACTTTAAAACCATATGAATATTATTTAGTAATAGGATACAATCAACATCCTAAAAATTTAATGTTAAGATTTTATTATGATTAAAATGGATTACAATCTGTATTTTAACCCATTTACATCAAAGAACATTAAAAATAACGATTATAAAAATTGTCACTTTTCAATGGTATATTTTCATGAAATTTTAATTTAGCATGTTTACAATCTATATTTTAACCCATTTGCAGCAAAAATATTCAAAAAAACCTTATTAACAACGATTAAGACAATTTTAACTTATCTATGGTACATCTTCACTGAAATTTTATTTTAACATGTAAGCAATTTATATTTTTGCCCATTTGCGTCTAAAAAAATCAAATAATTTAAAAAATAACGATTATGACAATTGTCACCTTTCTATGGTGCATCCTCATGAAATTTTAATTTAACATGTTTACAATCTATATTTTTACCCATTTGAGTCAAAAAATTCAAAAAAGTTTAAAATAATGATTATGACAATTGTCACTTATCTAGGGTACATCTTAACTGAAATTTTATTTTAACATGTTTGCAATACTTATTTTAGCCCATTTACGTCAAAAAAATTTAAAAAGTTATAAAATAACGATTTATGACAATTGTCACTTTTCTATGGTACATCTTCATGAAATTTTAATTTAACATGTTTACAATCTATGTTTTTACCCATTTGCGTCAAAAAAATTCAAAAAACTTTAAAAATAACAATTATGACAATTGTCACTTATATAAGGTACATTTTCATTGAAATTTTATTTTATCATGTTAGCAATACTTATTTTAGCCCATTTACGTCAAAAAATTTTAAAAAGTTATAAAATAACGATTTTGACAATTGTCACTTTTTTATGGTACATCTTCATGAAATTCTGATTTAACAAATTTACAATCTATATTTATACCCATTTGCGTTAAAAAATACAAAAAACTTTAGAAATACCGATTTTGACAATTGTCACTTATCTAGGGTGCATATTCACTGAAGTTTTATTTAAATATGTTATCAATACTTATTTTGGCTCATTTACGTCAAAAAAAGTTTAAAAAGAATGATTATGATAATTGTCACTTATCTAGGGTGCATCTTCACTGAAGTTTAATTTAAACATGCTAGCAATATTTATTCTAACCCTTTTTGGTCAAAAAAATTTAAAAATAACGATTATGACAATTGTCACTTTTCAATGGTACATCTTCATGAGATTTTAATTTAGCATGTTTACAATCTATACTTTTACCCATTTACAATAAAAGAATTCAAAATAAACAACGATTATGACTATTGTAACTTATCTATGGTATATCTTCATTGAAATTTTATTTAAACATGTTAGCAATACTTAGCCCATTTACGTCAAAAAAATTCAAAAAAGTTATAAAATAACGATTATGACAATTGTCACTTTTCTATAGTACATCTTCATGAAATTTTAATTTAACATGTTTACAATCTATATTTTTACCCATTAACGTTAAAAAAATTTAAAAAAGTTTAAAAATAATGATTATAATAATTGTTATTTAACTAGGGTACATCTTCACTGAAGTTTTATTTAAACATACTGGAAATACTTATTCTATCGCATTTTGGTCAAAAAAATTCAAAAAACTTTAAAAATAACGATTATGACAATTGTCACTTTTCAATGGTAGATCTACATGAAATTTTAATTTAGCATGTTTACAATCTATATTTTTACCCATTTGCAACAAAGAAATTCAAAAAACTTTATAAACAACGATTATGACAATTGTCACTTTTCAATGGTAGATCTTCATGAAATTTTAATTAGGCATGTTTACAATCATATTTTTACCCATTTACAACAAAAAACTTTATTAACAACGATTATGACAATTTTAATATATATCTATCTATGGTACATCTTCACTGAAATTTTATTTTAACATATAACAACTTATATTTTTGCAAATTTACGTCAAAAAATTGTAAAAAAACTTTAAAAATAATGATTATGACTATTGTCGCCATATATGGTACATCCTAATTGAAAATATAATTTAACATATGCGTTAAAAAAATCTAATATGTTTAAAAATACCGATTAAGATAATTGCCATATTTCCAAGGAACATCTTCATTGAATTTATAATTTAACATCTTTACATTATAAATTATATTTTTACCCTTTTGAGTCAAAAAATTTCAAAAATTTTAAAAATAACGAATATGACAATTGTCATAGTAAAATATTATCCTTAAAAAAATCATAAAATAACATAAATAAGTTAAATATAAATATTTAAAAAAAAATTATTTAGAAAACCCACCTCTTTTAATATATTTAAGAAATAGATAATTTTACAAAAATGATAAAAAAAACTATAAAAGATTTTACCTAAAAATTGTATATTTATTTATAATAAATTTCACAAAAGAATTTCTCAAAAAGATATATTACAAAGAAGATTTAAAATTTTTATCATAATATGTTCAAAAATCTTTTTGAACTTCAAGAAATATTTTTTACTTAAAATCTTGGGTGTGAAAATCATTAATATATTGTAACAAAAATAATATTATAATAGTAGCATATCATTTTTTCTTAAAAAACATCAAATAATTTAAATAAATGCATTCGCAATATATTTATTGTTTCGCGGTAATGCGCTCGCGATAATGACTTCGCTTAAACATATTCGCGATAAAAAATTCGCTGTAAAATGTTCGCGTAAAATGTTTCGCTAAAATGTATTCGCTCTAATAAATTCGAGGTTAAGGTTTCGCGGAAATAAATTCGCGACAATGGCTTCGCGAAATTGTCTTCGCTATAAATGTTTCGCGGAGATAAATTCACAGAATTGGTTTCGTGATTTTACCTTCGCTATAAAAACTTTTCACAATAAACGACATTCGCGATAAGTTTTGCTAAATTGACCTGATACGTAATTTTACTCCTGATTTTGATAAATTTATAAAATCAAAAAATTATTTGAAATGGTTGAAGATAATTTCACTTTTTGATAAACTAAGAATATAATCGATGGTAAAATGCTTCTTTTAAAAAAATGTCTTTATAAATTGATTAAAAATTTGACCATAACGATGCCTAAATTAGACAGGTTTAACTATATATAGGTTTGGCTTGTTTTTTTTAGTAAAACAATATATTTAGCCATACAGATCTTAGCTACTTAAAAAAATACATAATTTTTTATGGATTGTGGCTTTATAAATATATTTAAATTTATCAATTGAACAATATGTAATTCAAAAAAGCTTTTTATATTAAAATTTATTACATAAATTTTTCATAAACTATTACTGTTTCCAAACTTATATTTGCCTCATTTTATTGTATAAAAATTTAACAGGATTTGTTCCATCCCACTGCAGTAGTTCATAACCTTTGTTGTGTGGTGTTCGTTGCTGGATAGTCATAAACCTATTACTGACTAGTTTTTGCCTATTCACTGGAATTTTCACCTATTTAAACAATTTGCGGTAAACCCATTAGCTTTTTCTTATTTCATGAATAAATTCTAATCTCAATTGATATGAACACATTCTCAATTATTGATAGTAATTATCAAGGCTTACATTAGATGTTTATTAAAATTAGCCACCACCCACCCTTAAAGTAATTAAATTATTTTTGCAGTTCTTGGGTATAGGCTTTTGTTTTGCCCATTTCTTTTTGTTTATTAGCCTATAGACGTTTAAGCAACAGTTCTCGGACTGTTGCGCGTACAAGTACGTGCGGCTTGCCCACAAACGTGTGAAGGGCTCCTCATTTTTCTCCCCTTAATTAACTATCCAGTTTGATGGATTTTTGAGGAAAACCTAGCGTAGCTCTGTTGTATCCACAACCAGAGGGCGAAAACGCTTTTATCACGTATTAAAGTTTCATAAGGTAAGTTTCTTTAAATATATACTCAAATGCAACAAAATTTAGTTTTATATATATTATACCAATTTCAATTTATCAGATGAAATGAAATATCATTTCCAGCAATAAATTATTCTATAAATTTTTTTAAAATAAATTTAGTAGAAAGCTAATAAATTACTATACATTCAAATTTATTTGCAACAAAATTTAATTTTACATATATTCTACAATTTATTAGATAAAATATCAAATACAACAATAAATTTTTCTATAAGATTTTCTAAATAAAATTATCTAATATATAAATGAGTTTATTTTTCAATCATATGATTTAAAATAATCTGGTATTTTTAACCGAATCCCCCAATTCTTTTCCACCATTACCTCATCCTGTCATTGATATTCAGAAATTATATTAATAGGATAAAGATTCAATAGATGTGTAAGTTGGTCAATTAATTATTTAGAAATAATGGCGTATTGAATTTCTATTGGATGAATTTTTATGAAAAACATTTTATTGGTTGAATAGATTTTTATAAAATGTATTTAATTTGACTCCATTTATTATAAATAGTATAAAAGTAAAAATTTTTTATAAATAAAATACACTGTTTTTAAAATTTTAAGTAGATTAAAATATGCCTCCTAAGCCATCTGGAAAAGCTGTCAAAAAGACCTCTAAACCCAAGATAACTAAAGATAAGAAGAGAAGAAAATCTAGGAAAGAATCTTATGGAATATATATTTATAAAGTGCTTAAGCAGGTACATCCTGATACTGGGATATCTAGCAAAGCTATGTCTATCATGAATTCATTTGTGAACGATTTGTTTGAAAGAATTGCTGCAGAAGCTTCTCGTTTGGCCCACTACAACAAACGCTCAACTATATCAAGTAGGGAAATTCAGACTGCCGTAAGACTTCTTTTGCCTGGTGAGTTGGCCAAACATGCTGTAAGTGAAGGAACAAAAGCGGTGACTAAATATACCAGCTCAAAATAAATGCTAACCCTAAAATATATCTGTTATTACAATGTAATTTTATATTTGTTATGGATTTTGATGTATTTCTTTAATATATTTGCCAATAAATAATTTTTTTAATTTGAAATAAATGTATACTAGTTCCTTGTAACATTTTAGACTATAAGATGCATAAGTGTTTAAACACTAAAAAATATAAGATACTTTGATAGCATTTTTAAAGTGTACACATAGTATTTGATTATTGTATTTATACAATAGAATATACTAGTAATAAATATTTCTATAAAAAATCAAGTTAAAACATTTTAAAATACATTTATATAAAGTTTAAATTTTTTGTTAATTAATTTGGAATATATAATAAATATTTTTACTAAAGAGTTATGAGATCATAAGTAATTGATATTTCTTTGACTGCTATCAAAATTGGCATGTTCTATAATCACCCCAGGTGCTAATTTGCTCTGTTTATATTCCATATACTTTAAATACTTTTTCATTAAAACAATACAGGAGCTTATTAATTTATTCTATTAGCATAGATTTCTGTACATCAGACTGAATCTGGATATGTAAACCACAATTTGATATGCTATCTTTCTATTTTTCTACCTTTATTGTGTACCACTGCCAATAATATTTTATAAATATAATTGCATGAAATAATATAAATTGCAATTTTCCTAAGTTATTTGCAAACAATAATAATTTTTTTGTCAACTAATCAAATTGTAACTTAGTGCAATAATGCATAATGAAATTTATCTTACATTGGTTGAACTTGAAACACAATGCTTAAATGCCCACTAAAAATCTTAATATTATCAATATATTGGAAATTTTTTTGTCCATTTAAACAATTCTATATTTTGTATAACCATATAAATTAAATTAGGTAATATTAATGTTAATTTTTGTAATATATAGTTTTTTAAAACTAGAATTCACTTCATGGTCAAAAACGTTAAATATTAATGGGGGGTTCAAAAATTTTGTGAGACTTGACCCCAAATACCCCCTTGCCCTACCGTAATTATTGCAAGTGGCCCCACTAGTTTTTACAATCTCAGATGGCTCAAAAATTATTTTTTTTAAAATCTCAATTTTTTTATTTGAATTTCATATACTAAGTTATTTATTTTTGAAAATAACCTTTTTTTTATTAGCTAAAATTCCAAAAATATTTTTTCGAAATTCTTCAAATGTTTCATGGGGCTTGAGCCCCTGTGCCCCCCTCCAGTCAGGCTACTGGTTACTGCCTTTATTCTACATCCTAAAGTTTGCAAAAACAGAATTATAATACTATCGTCTGGTTTGGTATAAATATAAAGTAAATAACATTGAAATAAAAGTAATTAAAATTATATCGTATATTCATGATAATTTACACATAAATTGAAATTACATGACTCAATTTGGGCAATGGGAACACAAAATAATATTTATATAAAAAATTATATTTCTTTTAATTATTTTTTCTGACCTTTAGATTTATTGGGTTAAAAATACAGGATTCATACTCAATTACGATACAATTAACTAAACTTGATTAAGACAATTATTATTAGGTTAGATGCATTAATTATGTATAAATGTATATAAAAATTTAAGAATAATAACCTAATAGGTTTGCATTTATTTTGCAGGCTCGCAATACTCAATTCGAATGTCAGGAACTGAGATTTGCCCTTTATGATCTTCAAACTCTAATGACAATTTTTTCGAAGTAGTCAAAAATACACTTTCTATTTTTAGGACTAACTGTTCTTAAAAATGCCATTTGCATTGGCCATATCACATAATTGAACGCGAATCTAGGAAAATAATTTCCCGGAAAAAAATTCCCCGGAAAAAAATCCCTAAAATATTTTTTGAGAAAATCGTCAAAAATTCCTGTAAAATTTTTCCAAATGAAAATTTTCAAAATAAAATAGTACTTGTGATTAATATTAAACCTAACAAAAACTTAAATTATTAATTAATACTAATAAATATAATGTATAATGTTATGGACTTATCCCGAACCCAGGTTTAGTGAAAACAAAGCAATATTTATAAAATAAACGAATTGGATACCTAGTCTCTGTCTAAATATTATTATAAGTTAAGTAATGATAATGGCCAGCTCTGATTTTTTATTTTGGCCCGGCATAAATTCATATCATTTTTTGACGGATCTGCTCTGCACTATTTAATTAAATGGAAATGTTTTTTAAAGTCAAATTCCTTCGAGGATTTGTTCACCTTTACACATTTTCATCAACTTTTAGATATTTATTGAAAATCAAATTTTTACTTTAAAAAAAAAATTATTTTTACACAAATTTTAATAATTTTCTTTAGAAATATATTAAAAATTTAAATATCAGTTGGAGATAAGAGGCTTTTCACAATTTACTAACTCTTAAATAGCGCCCTTTTTTGTTTTTATAAGGATAAGCTATTAAATAATATAATTATAAATTCTCTGGCGAAATAGGAAATTTTCAATTCAATCTGATCCCCTCTATTTGATAAAAATTATTTTACTGAAGTATTCTACTTTAAGAATTTAACTGACTGAATACAAAATCAATATAAAACTTGCAAAATTATATTTTTTACTACCCAATTTTAATTAAATACTGCCAAAAGTAATGAAAAATGCTGACCATTCCAGAGGTGATTATCAGCAGTGAGTATTATATTTTTCGAATCTAACAATTATTATTTTGCTTATGAATTTTTTTTCAAATTTACAGAAAAGAAATAATTATAATTTTATTAAATGATATATGGAATAATAAATTATATTATTCAAATGAAACAATTCTAGAACGTATATGTTCTCTAATTGAAGAGAGAAAATTAGGCAAGTCCCTTCTCTCTGCTAAAAAAATCAATACATAAATTTTTTTAAATATTTTGTTTCGTTGCATAACTACGATTTTTTTGGGAGTGTATCTCCCAATACTCCATTGGCCGATTTTGCCCATGTCGACGGCTATTTCCATCATCATTTTTTCGATTAGTTCCCATATCTTAGGTTTTTTGCGGCCTATAATATGCTGAAATCGATTATTCCATCCTTCACATACATTTTTGTTCGATTTTCCCCAGCAATCGTTACGTTGAACACATTCCATGTTTCAGGTGGGAACAATGGCTCTACTTGCCTTTGAGAGTTTCTCCCATATCTCAATTCTCCATTCACATAATTTTTATCAAAATAAATCAATAATTCTTTGTTTTCATCCGATACAATGGTTTTTAAATACTCTATACCTAGTTTGACATCGTGTATAGGTAAGAATGCTAATCCATCAATCGTAGCTGCAAATAAACATAACGTTGGATCATTTCGATATGATGATTCTAACCCCAATTCTTGAATCTTCCTATGAGTGGATTGAGTTAGATGATAAAAACATCCTTGGATGATGATATCTCTACCTAAAAGTTGAAAAAATATAGATTAAAATTATTGTATAGGTTTTATTTAATATTTATGTCTTTATCAATTTTCATTAATTACTAGAGGTGGGTGCGTTTATCCTACACTCTTGAAAAAACCGTTTAAAATATTCCTAAAAACAACAGAAAAAGGAAAATAGAATTTAAAAAAATTTCAAGGTCCACGGTCCAAAATACATTTTAAAATCAAGGTCCTAACACATCTCGATAGTATATAGATGTAATTAAATCGTAAAAAGAAACCTAGAGTATTTTCGACGGCATTGATTGCGGCCTTTTCAAAATCCATATAAATTGTTATCGGATCTATGACTAAATTCCGTTCTTGGGCTTTTTCAAGTAAAATCTTAAAAATTTCTTCATACGTTGTATACGTTTTTCTTTGTAACAAAAAATATGCCGCTGTAATAAACAGTGTTTTAAAGGGTATTCTAATTACATATAGATGCAAAAATAAATGAAGAGCCAATTTAAAATTCCCGTCTATATACCAAGTTTTCGTTTCGGCTTACATTTTAAGCATATAAGGTAAATATAATTATTCGTTCATTAGAATCTCCGCCATTATCATGCAAAAGAAATCTCTCATTCGTGGGAGATCCGGTTGTAGCCCAATCCTCTAATATTAAAAGATATTTTCAATTAAAAAGTTATTTATATACATAAATATGATCTAACCTGAAATGCTTAATTCTTCCAATGTGGGCGGAATAGGTGGAAACCTTTTTATTTTGTGATTTCTAAGTGTCCTCTTGATACTATCTTCATTCGGAAGTCTTTTTCTGGATTCGGAAGACAATTTAGACATTTCTTCTGCGTATATTTGGCAAGTATTTTGATTTGTTTCGGAGGCTTTTCTTTTCATCGTGCTTATAGCATTTTTAATTTGATATTCATGTGGGTTTTATAGAATGAATATGAGGCGTATTTTCCAATGTATAGTCATTTTCATTGTAATATTTCAAAATAACTGGGCATTTTTCAGCATTATATAATGTACATTTGTATCTTTTAAAATTTTTCGTAGTTTTATGATAATTGTTCATGAAAAATTTTAGCATGCTTATTTAACGGAAGAATAAACATAAAAAATTTATTAAAATTATCAAAAATGTTTAAAATAGTAAAAGAAAATTTTATAAAAAGTAATAAAAAAACTAAATGAAAATCGTTTGTTTCAAAATTACATAGAATATACCACCCAAATATATAAATTTATTTATTCTTGAGCATAACTTTCCTTTCAACGTTATAAATAATAATAATATCAGGGAACTAACTGGGATTATGATAACATTTCCGGAGTTGGAAACTTTCAAATAAAAAAAGTTTCTATTTTAAGATTATAGTCCCTCCTGTGTTTTCTTTAATGAATTAAATATATTAAAAATTATAATATTTATAAAAATAAACAAATATTATTTAGAATAAATAGTTAATTTTTTGGTAGCGTTCAATTACTTGAGATAGTCTTTGAATTAAATAAGCTTTTGTAATCAGTGATTAGGATCAATACTTTTTTTGAAAATTTATAATCAGATACAATTTTTAAAATCAATAGTATTAAACATAAAAAATTTCCATGTTATTTTTGTCCGGGATTCAAACTGATATAAACGAACGAAACAGAATAGTGTCATAATATTCATTTTTATGTTATATATATTTTAACCTTAGTGGCATGTTAGAAATACC